CCCCCGCCGCCGCCGCCGCCGCTGCTCCGCCGGAACAGGCTGGTCATTTTTCCGAGCCTCTGGGCAAAAGTGTTTCCAGCCTGTGAGCCCCTTCCCCCGGGCCCCTGGGCCGTGGCAGCGCGCCCGGCGGGCTTGGCCAGCTCACTCCCTGGCCGCCACCGGCCCCTGGCGGCCTGGTAGGCGAGGGGCCGGCAGGGTCCCTGAGTCAGAAGTCGAGGGTGCCGGCCCCCAGGCCGCCCTCGAGGAGGGGTCCTAGCGGGGCGGCGGCATCCGGGCCTGGCTAGCTGGTCATCCACACCCCCGGAGCATCCTGCGGCTGGTCCCACAGAGGGTCCCACCTGAAAAAGAAAGAGAGGCTCAGGGCCCTAGTACAACAAACTTGAACTCAGGCCTAGGGAATGTGGGTGCCCCCCCCCCCCGATAAAACTGTTTCCTCCCACGTTCTCTGCAGGTGAGAACTACCGGCAGGGAAGAGCTTACTCTGAGCCAACACCTGGGCATCTAGGTGCACTGTGACAAAAACTGAGACAGGGTTCGGCTATCCCAAACTGGGGAAGGGGGTTTAGGAAAACAGGCCTAGACCCTGAAAAGGCGAGCGAGTCTGGATTTTACCCCAAAGTCACAAGTTTCGACCACTATGGCAAGGCCAAGAAGTCCTGGGGGCCTGACTGGGGCAGGAGACCTCCCATCCAACTCCTGCTTCCCTCATCTTCCCACTCCAGGACCCCAGAATCTGGCATCCAATTTATGCACACCTCCACTAATTCTGAAAAACCAAACAAAACTTCCCTGCACACTCAGAAATAGGCATGTAAATCACCTCTGTTAGTGCAGTTAACTGAGAGCTGCCTGGCTAAAAACATCACGTTCTGGTTTTCCGACTTATCGCAAGATTTACAGTAATTTCGTTAATTGTAGAAAAGTGGCAGCTTCATTTTAAGGAACTGTTCCATTAAAGGATATTAAGTTTGATGAAACAGGTGCAAACCTGTCTTTCCTTTCCTAGGATTGGGGATGATAATCTTAACAGCTGATGGAGAAATTTTCATGTGAGCAATCAACCTGATGACCTTCTTTGCCATGCTCACAGGAGTCAAATAACTGTGAAGAGGGAAAAAGAAAGTGCCTGCATCCCAGAGCCAGAAGGTCCCCCTGTCCCTTTAGGTCTGCTCCCTCACAGGTAAAATGGAACCGTATACTGTCACCAATGCCTTTCAGGGCCGCCCTGCTGAGAGTATAACCTCCTTCAAACTTCCAGCTCCCTGATGGGCATGGAAATGATCCAGCGCTCCTGCTCTGAATCAGAGAAAACTGGCTGGGTGTCTGCCTAGTCCCAGGGAAGCAGGCCATCTTCATGAACAGGAAAACAGAGGGACATGGGTTCCCGACACTGGTGTCACAGAACTACAGTCCCCTTCCCCCACCATCCCTGTCAAGACCTGTTAACACTCTGGTGCCTCAATACCTAGATACTTTTTCTACGCACACACTTCCATATGTTTGAATTTTATCTTACGAAGATGTAATCAAACGATAAATTCTACTACACAGCCTATTTTCCCACTATCTTCCACATCAGAATTCTTAGATCTACTTTATCATTTTTAATGCCTGAGTAGTATTCTGTCAACTGAGTGAAACATGATTTGTCATCTAATCTCCTCCACCCCATCTCTTCACGATGAGTAAGTCACAGTTCCAAGAGGCCAAAGTCATTTCACAAGGACATACAGAGGAGTAACCTCAAGTGATCAGTGCAAGAATGTTGTTATGAAAATGAACCCAGGAAGGTAGCCAAGGATGACATGGCCTGCCATAGCCAGCTTTAGGCACCACCACCACCCTCCATTCCCACACCTCCCATCAACCCTGACACATCAGCTTGGAGGGTGCTTGCTGCTCAACTCTGCCAGAAGCCATGAGAGGCTGGGCTCCACCCTGGTGGCTGCCTTTGTCCTAGGCTCTTAAGACCAAAGTCCTCTGGAATAAAGCAGCTATCTCCCTGCCTCTCTAGCCATTCAGTAAGAGAGAGGAGGCCCTGGCTCTCACTTTGCAAAGGCAGTCCCGTGGGGAAAAGCCAGGATGTGATGTACCCCTGGTAGAGGATGGGGCCCACACTTCCCCATTAACAGCCCTCTGGATTGGCCCGGGGTGTCTGAGTGTTGGGAAGCCGCCAAGAGGCATTCTCGGCTCACACCATTTACAGTAAGTGTGCTGGTTCTGACCCAGGCGGCAGTTCCTGCCCTGCCACTCCCCAGCCACCGGAGTCTCCTCTAATCTCACCTCAGTAACCTCACCTTTACCTCTGGTCTTCAATATGAATGAAACAGGATCCTCTAGGTGCAGCCTGGAATGTGTCTAGCTGCAGGGTTGCTTGTGCCACTACCCCAGAGGGCTGACTAAGCAGCCAGGAGCCGCAGGTACCGGTACACGATGTGGATCCCCCAGCACCAGGATGTCAAACCCTGGGGTTCCTTCAGCCCTCTGGAAGGAGATGCTGACCCACACAGCCCCAGGGGAGGCCTGGTCAATCGGAGATGCCACAGCTCAAGCAGCTTGAAAAAAGGCTGTGTGTGCCAAGACTCTACCGACAGCTCTAACCAGTCCCACACCCTGCTCCACATTACAGACAAAGAGGTTGACACCCAGCTCTAGGAGGGCGTTACCCAAAGACAACAAGCCAGTAATGGCAAAACCTAGACTTTTCCATCAGAAGGCAAGTTCTGTGGATGAGTAGACAGTGGCTTGGAAATGGTTATGGGCATGCAGAGAATAGCATTCGATATACCAAAGCACCAGTTTTACAGGCTTCTACAAAGACTCAATTAACACCAGGCAGGCATATATGAAGGCACCCACTGCTCGGCAGACCACCCCCATGCCCCCTCCCATAAGAGCTTGGGTGCAGAGTCACAGCAGGGGCTGATGTCTGGCTAGGTGGCCTGGGAGCAGAGGGAAGGACAGTCTTCAGGGTCAGGCTGCCTTTGCAACCAGCACTGTTCGAATGAAAAGCAATTTAAAGCACATGAAAGAATGAAGGCAGGCTGCTCGGGTTTATGAGCTTGTGCCAGGTGCTTTCACATTTAATCTGTATTACAACTGCAGAGATAGATGTTATCTCTGTTTTTATAGGTTTGGAAACCAGTTCAGAGAAGTTAGGTAATTTGTGCAAAGTCACACAGCCATATATATGTAGAGAAGCCATAATTAGGAGCCCACGATCTAAGAGCCAAAAATGCAAAGTCAGACTGGCAAGGCTAAGAGCCAAGGAGCTTCAAAAATGCAACCATGTGTGCCCCAGGCTCAGGAGACTGGGCACAACCCAGCTGACATTCCCGTAGAGGAAATGTGACCCAGACGGCTCTGTGGGGAGGAGATACAGAGGGGTGTCTGTTGGCTGGGCCAACAGCTGGCTCTGTGATTCCAAAGAACAACTCCACCTCTGTGAACCCTAGTGGCTGGGTGCTGGCACAGAAGGAAGGAGATAACTCGTAGCTGGCTTCTGAAAAAGGAAGTAGATCAAATCTGCTGACCCGCTAGCCACCTGGAGGTCAACTCAAAGATTCTCCTATACTCCCAGTTGTGAGCAACCTGGGGATTAGGAAGCAAAAACCTGTCCTCCCCCAGGCCCCAGGGAGCCAGGCCTTCTACCTCCTCGTGAAAGAATCCAGGCCCGTCAGGGGAGTGGCAGTGAGCCAATCTTCACTCCAAGTGTGAACAGCCAGCCAAAGACTGAGTCACGCCTGGCCCGGTCCAGGGAGGTGGTAAGCTGCCTCACAGTTGTTCTCCTGACCTTGCCCAAGGTCGTCCCAGCCAGTGTTCTGCCAGGCTGGGGAGGGTCTGTATGTGAGTGCCCAGAGCCAGAGTCCTAGCTCCCCGTCTGACTGGCCCAGTAAGGCTATGTGACTTGGAAATGACCTTACTTCTCTGAACCTCAGGGATACTATCTACTTGGGAGAGCTTTGTGACAAGACTTATATGGGTGCACTGGTAAGCACCCAATGAGGCAGATTGGTGTGGCCTTGGGAACAGGCTGTGGCCATTGTCCTGGGCGACACTCACACCCTGAGTGATCTTATTCAGTTCTGGTACATTAAATGCCATCCACACACTGAATATTGGCCCCCGACTTACCTCTCACCCTGAGTTGTCCTGGCAACTCCATACCTCCCACACCTGACCTGCTGATTTGCTTAGATGCCCAATAGCAGTTCCAACATCCTGGTCAACTGGCTTCATGATTCTGACTTACCCCAACCTGCTCTTCCCCTGCCTCCCTGCTAAATGGCAACTCTGTGCTCAGGCCTCACGCTTGGGAGTTGTTCTGGTACCCCACACGGCATCGCGGCAGACTGGTTTTCCAATCATCAAAATGATGGGAGACAGACTCGGCCTCCAGCCTCCACTGCCACACCCTCCCTCCCTCCCTGACCCTCCACTGCCTCCCTACCAACCACCACTCATGTTCTGTCAGTCCTCTGCTCCAGGCTCCTTAAAGACTGTGTCCACAGAACACAGCCCAGAGCTTTGCCAGGCCCCACATGGTGCCTACCTGTGCCACCTCTCTGACTAGGTGCAGCTGACAAACCACTCGCATGTACACACATACACACATCCTCACTCTGTGCCGCCCCCCCACCCCAGCCCCCCTGCGTCCTTGCTAGTCCACCACCAAGCAACACACACTCCCATCCAGGGGACTCTGAGCTTACTTTCCCTGCTTGCCACATTCCAATTGCCTGCACGGCACCCTCCCCCTCCCTCCTGTGATCTCTACCTTAGCAGCCCCTTCCCGCCCCATCTGCCAGTGTTCCCCAGCCTTCATCCTGCTGTTTTCCTCATCATATCGACCACCCAAAAAAAATTAAGCTTTTAAC